GGGGGGGGGAGAAAAAAAAGGAGGGCCTTCGATAGCCTCCAGATTGCTTAGCAAATCTCCGTACTTGTGTGAATCACACTTTATTCTAAATAATATGCACAAATAAATCACACCGCGGCTTATTATATTAGCGCCGGTGCCACACAGCAGATCAAAAAAAAAAAAAAGAGATTTTTTATTAAAAGGAGAGGCAGAATCTGGCGACTCTTTTGGTGGTCCAGGGGATTATAAGCGGAGCCTCCCTGCTCAGACATAGCCTATCTGAGCAACCGTGGAAAAATTCAAGGGGTGAATTTTGTTGTTGAATCTGATTTTTAAGGAGGTGGGTTGCAAAGCACACCCACGCATACTCTTCCCCCCTCTCCAGAATCCCCCCAGGGCAGGTGACCTACCTCTGTCTAAGTTTGGGGATGTCGTGGCTGCAATGACGCACAACCCCGTTTTGCAAAGACAAACACACCGCACACACGTCCGGACGTGCTGGAAATAAGTCAGGGGGTCCTGTCTGCTGATGAAATTGGTCCCTTGTTTCAACTGGCTGCAACCAGGACAGGCTGGAAAGGCAGAGCAGAGATTTGAGAGCAGGACTAAAAGGTCATCTAGTCCAGCCCCCCCCCCCCCTGTTTTGGTCCTGGGTTCAATGCAGGAATCCTTCCTGTCCTTCTTTGGACCGTTCTCCCAGTCTTCCTAAAAATCTTATCTCCCCTTAATTCCCACCCCCCTCTTCTCCTGAGGGGTTTTCTCTTCTCCTTAAAAGTTGTGCCCAAAAAAGCCAAAGTAATATATCTCTCAATGTTCCTCTTTTGCCTTCTCGGGTTTTTTTGTTCCCCTCCAGCGAGAGGATCTGAATTAAAAGCTGTTGTTTTTTTTATCAGGGGGCTTAGGAGCTCAGTGGAGTGGGGGGATGTTTGGCCGCAGGGACAAGACAATAGAAAAATACTCTGAAATTGGGAGGTTGCTGGCTTGCTTGATCCCAGGGCTGATTACTTAGGAAAACATATTTTTCTCTCTTCTCTGTGGCTCTTGCTTAATTTACTCTTGCTAGAGCAGGTATAGCCAGCGGTGTGTCTACCAGGGATACTTGAAGATAGGAGGGAGGGAAGGAAGGAAGGAAGAAAAGAAAGAAAGAGAGAAAGAAAGAAAGAAAGAAAGAAAGAAGATAGATAGATGAAAGAAAGAAAAAGAAGGAAGGAAGGAAGGAAAGAAAAGTGAGAAGGGAGGGAGGGAAGGAAGGAAAGAAGGAAGGAAGAAAGATAGAAAGAAAAAGGGGAAGGGAAGGAAGGAAGAGATAGAAAGAAAGGGAAGGAAGGAAGGAAAGAAAGAAAAGTGAGAAAGAAGGGAGGGAGAGAAGGAAGGAAGGAAGGAAGGGAAGCAGAATAACCGATTGAAGGGTCAAAGAGTTCACCCTTCCCCAAATGCCCCCCACTCCTGCCAACAGCTTGGAAGCCTATATATATATATAGCCTATATATATATATAGCCTATATATATACTCCCTTAATTCTTTGTTAGCAATCCAAATTTTGAAAACATATATAGCCTAGATAGATAGATAGATAGATAGATAGATAGATAGATAGATAGATAGATAGATAGATAGATAGATAGATGTAGGGAGAGAGATGATAGATAGATAAGTAGATAGATGATAGAGATAGAGATAGATAGATGATGAGAGAGAGAAAGAGAGAGAGGGAGGGAGGGAGAGAGAGAGAGAGGTAGATGAATAGATAGATAAGATAGATAGATAGATAGATAGATAGATAGATAGATAGATAGATAGATAGATGATAGATAGATAGATAGATAGATAGATAGATAGATAGATAGATAGATAGATAGATAGATAGATAGATAG